TTTCTTCCCTTCGTTATAGATTTATCCATCTGTGGTCTTTATAATTATCGTCTTTATAGTTGGGTTTCTGAATGGATGTCCAACTTGTTGATTCCCGGCACTAAAATCTGAGCAACCCAATGCACCGGCCAAAACAGTGGCATTAAGATTGATGGTGTGTTCTGACTTTGCACCACGAACCACCGCACCAAGGCAGTGGCAAAACCACCTCACCGGCCACAAGAGTCGCGCTGGCGACTTGTGGGGCTCCTCCGCTGGGAATCTCCTGGTGCGTGAGCAACAAAAATTGATCTGAAAGTGTGGCGTCCTCTCGTTCTCTGCACTTTCAATGGGAGCTACAATCCCCAGCTGCTAGTGATCAGCCATCTTGGATCTCTCTCCGCTTTATTTTCATTGTGGGGGTGTTTTTCCTAGAGCAGCCATAGTGTGCTGTGGAAAGTGGAGCTTGGCAGTGTCCTTCCCTGACTGCATTATTTTGCTCTGCCGGCTGTGTACGGTGCTGAGAAAACCTCGAGCCTTGTTGATTGTCTCTGGTCAACACCCACTGCTGCTGACTACCTGTGACTCTTGATTTTTACAGGATCTCCATGACACTCATAATAATACATGCTATCTTATTGCTACTCAGCTCTGGGAGATAACTGGTTCAGCCTTATAACACTGCAGTTTCTGGAGAACGTTTATTGCATTTGGGGTAAAATGTTGTAGCAATCTTAGAATTCTGTCCTGTGTCATTTTAATAGCTACCTCTATAGCAAGATTCTACACACAGTTAAATTGTTATTGTCTTAAAAAGCCAGTGCTAGATTTGCATATATTGTCAACAAGAAATTTAACATGATTAATAGAAAATCTTATACTTTTAAAATATTGGGATACTGAAGAGAATATTTTGTATTAACATTAGACTTGACATGTTGTTATAACATGTATCTTCAAAATTAAATTTTAAAACATTTTGCAAGGTTTATGCTGTGCTTTATTATTATGCTAGATAGTAGAGTGAATGGGGAGGATTTGGGGGTTTAAAGTTTCTGATTGTATTTGATTAGTATGTTTCTAATTTCCCATTTTCAAAATGTCTTCCAAGATATATGTTTAACTTCTTTATATCAAGTTACATAAAATCAAGTAAAACCTTTCATTATTTACCTTGAAAGAATTTATTTTATTTGAAGCTTTAGTTAATGAAAAAAAGGGGTTTCTTTGAGTATGTATCATTTTGTTTTATATTAGAGGCTTCATATATTTTATGAGTGTTATATTGTTTTAATTTTTATTATTTCCGATGTATTTCCTAATCCACAATTAGCATTAATACAAATTATTGTACCCTAACTGTTGACAGAAATTACAACACTTCAAAATAAGCTCAAAGATTTTAAGAAAGAGGCTTTAGTCTGTTGGTGGGATGAATACTATGTACATGTTTCTTAAAGTTAAATAGTTGAGTGTATTTTAATTACTACTACTGTAAAAAATGCCACTGAGCTTAAAAAAGGGCAATTAATGCTTGTGTTGGACAGTTTTATAGAAAACATAGGTCACAAGTTAAGTTAATATGGTTGTTGCTTTTTAGTAAAGTCGTATAGAGTTTTCATTAGAGCAAAATTTTCTCTAACAAACCTTACTTTCAATAAATTCA